TCTTTGTTCTCAAAAATAACCTTCTCGTGCGAGCGTGCCATAAACCCGGTCAACGAAGACCCCATGCGTTCCGTACCTGCGCGACGGAACATCGCACATAATCATCGACGAGCGAACCGACGTTATTTTAACATCAGTTATTTTAAGCGCCTGTAATTCCTTAATCTTACATATTACTAATTTATTAGGTTAGTAGAAATTATTCGTAATAAAGTTCAAAGTGGAATTTATTACAGACTTTGAATATTTTTTACTGAAGAAGTATCTAGACGGCTTAAAAATTTTGAAAGTACGAAAATAAGGAATTGTGAAATAAGTGCAATCACGCTTAGAGTATAGATGCTCGGTAAGTAGGAGGAGCTCCCTTAACGCCGGACGGCACCTAATATCGGACATTAGTTATATCTGCAATAATTGAAACGCTACCGAGCCGTTATTCTGCGTATCTGCTAGAGGAGACAAAAGGAAGAAAAATAAGTTTTCTACGCGTTTCACTCGCGTGTGCACAGGCAGAGAGATTTATTTTAGAAAAAACCTTAAGAGTCCGGTGCTAGGGGAACTCCCCCTACGTAACAAAAGGGTTAAATGGTATCTGAGACAACCATGAGGCAAACTACTGTAGAAACTCGAATCACTTCTTGTTGTCCTTATTATTCTCTTTATTACTCAAGTTTCTCCATTAATACTTGCTCGCGAAGAAGAGCAACGTTGGCCACAACTATATTTCAAGTGTAACGGTTGCCATGAAATTTTATCTGCGATTGATGAATTGCACAGTGCACCGCAAAAATATTTCGCTAGAATGGGAGAATTTGTCAAATGTGAAAGCTATGAATTCGGGTCAAAAATGAATCACGGCCACTTTGACAAATATCGCTAGAAAAATTTTTTCCTATTTCTCCTTTTTACGCGAACCTGTATTTTTCTTCTCTTTTACGTTGAATTTCGCGTGCAATATCGGAGAAAAGAATTATGAAAGATGTATCAGTGCGAAATAATGCCCGTAGCTTACGAACAGCGTTGGATTTTGCAACTCTCGGAGACGAGAATCCCTTCTTTGTACGTGAAGAAGTTCCGCGTAAAAGAAGAATTGCAAGAAAATCAGAGTAGACGAAAATTTGATAAGAAACATTCCGTGCAGCTGATATAACTGAATAGAAATGAGAAACGTGATATTACTTTGTGTGTTATTCAACGAGGAATATCGTTTCGAAATCGAAAAGGTACATTTAGTGCAGCAAATGAAAAAAAAAAATGGCCTGAGGATCGAGAAAATAATTAACCTTAAATAGTGTTTCCTCCGTTCGACTATACACTTAAGGTCTTTGGGTCAGAAAAGACCCGGAGAACAATTTTTGAACCTAGACTATAAACTTCTAATGCAAAGTTAAGGAAACATAAACTTGATAACGGTAAAAGTTGTAAAAAAAAATAAAATAGGGATGGGTTGAAAAAGACTCGATTAAATTTGCAGCTGAAACATTCTGTTTCTTCTCTGCTGGTTTGATATTTCCATCGATCTATGATAAAGAAAAAGCAGCAGAAATTATTTTCGTCGGAAGATATTTTACCGTGTTATGTGACTTCCTAGTTGAGATAATGGAATGTTTGAAGCAAACATCGTATTATAAACACTACAATGTGATTTCGCTAAATTCTCGAACGATTGCTTTGAAATCTTAGGCTCGTCGCGATGCTATCTTGAATTATCGCCGAAAACACTTTCGACAAAGATACACTGTATATAAAATATTATCAGCTCAGACACCTCTAGTTCTTTCACTGTCGAAAATCACGATAATAGTAGACTTGGTATTTCCAAGATAAAGCCATCCATAAAGTTGTTTTCTCCTTTTCTTTCTTCTTCAACGAGAATAAATTTAATTAAGCAATAACTGCTGATGAAGGAGTGAAGGAACGAAGTGGAAAGGTGGAAAATCGGTTGCTTTGTGCAAAATTCTGAGATGAATTCGTCAGAGGAATTTTCGAAAAGTTGGAAAATCGGTTATTTCGAGAAACATTTTAAGATAAATTCATCAGGGGAATTTTTGAAAAGTTGGAAAATCGGTTATTCCCAGCAAAATTCTCGAGAAATTTTCAACCGAGAGTTTTCGCAAAATTCATCAAAGGAGTTTTCAAAAAGTTGGGAAAAATTGATGTCGTGGAATTTTCAAAAAGTTGAAAAAATTTGGTAGAGAAATTTTCAGAAATTGTTACTACAGAATTTTCAAAAAGTTGGAAAGTCGGTTATTTCGAGGAAAATTCCGGCATAAATTCACCAGTGGCATTTTCGATTTCTTGCACTTCACGTGCAATCACGATGCAACGCGCACTGCTGGCAACGTAAACAATCGTGATCCTCCAGGATACTGAATCGTCTCAATAGGAACAAAGAGGACGCTTGCGTGTATACTCTATTTGTACGTGCATCGTAGAAATCGCCAGAGTCTGTTGTGTGCCTCGAGCAGCCATAGATAATCCTGGATTTAACGGGGCGCCAATTTATTCGCGTGAAACTATAGAACGCGAGAGCACCGTATCGTATTAAATCCACGCGTAATTTATAGATACTCGCTGATTATTCTCCGAATTAGAATGTGATCGTTCGACGACTATATTTAGCTATTCTACAAACGAAGATCGCGATACTTCCTAGAAATTTTTCGGGAATTAGTGAATTCAACGACGATTATTCGAAGAAAATTAATAAACGTAATTCTGAAATTGCAAGTTCATTCACTCGTATATGCACACTATCGTTTATGAATATATTAACCTAAACAGTGGTCAGAAAATTAGTATCCAAAAGAAATACACACTTTCGTTTATAGGAATTAAGACTCTTCTCAGTAGTCAGAAGATTAAGATTAAAAAAAAATTGTTACACTCCCTTTTATAAGAATTAAGACACACTACCGGCCAAATGTTCGGAATCACTGTGCATTGCAATTTGCACAAAAATTCCCCAAAAATGTTAGCATTTATAATAATTTTCCAACGAATTTTTTATTATTCAAATCAATCGAAATGAGATACAGTGCTATTGATCTCCACAACATCAATTTCAAATCAATAAAGAATTAGTAGCAGATTCAATATTAATATAAATTGGCAGGTGATTCCAAACTTTCGGCCGGTAGTGTACTTATTAAGTGTGAAGCAAACCTAAACAGTCGTTAGAAGATGAAAATCCCCAAAAAATTGCATACTCCCTTTTATAGGAATTAAGACACCTACTTGGTAAATGTGAAGCAAACCTAGCAAACCTAAACAATCGTCAAAAGATTAAAATAAAAGAATATTACATAGGTACTCCCGAAGCAAAAACCCAACAAATTTAAACAGTCGTTAGAAGCTTAAAATCTGAAAAAAATTTCACACTCCCTTTTGTAAGAATTGAAACACTTGCTAAATATGAAACAAACCTGAACAGTTACCAGAAGATTAAAATCCCCCAAAAAAGTTATCCAACCTGGAATTTGGTAATATAACGTAATTTTTGCTGTACGTACATGGCACTAAATCTAGCGAAGAAATGTATTTAAATCGTATGCTACTTTCTGCACAAATATAACGGATGACCTAATACTCACAAACAGCAGCGTATACATTCACTCGCAAACTTTATAACTTATGAATAAATTCTTATTAAACACGTATTGATGCTCCGCTGATCTATGGATATACGGTTTACGATTCGCATAATTTATGCGCTTCAACCAGTTACATACCAACGAGGTGATGTAACGTGAAGGGTGTTAGACTGAGCCACAAATTAATCCTGTTCAAATTCAAGCCGATCGGGTAAGCCGCGGAGTTAAACCCTCCCTTAAAGCAGAAGTTCGAATCGGTTCAATTTCGCGAACATAGGAAATATTTCATTTCGATAGGAGATTTTTCATGTTTATTCCATGGAATATTTTCGCAAAAACCAAACGCTCGTCCATAGGTAGAAACAATAACGAGTTCGTTTGCACGAGTAATCTTTTTTCTATCGTTTCTGCGTTTTCACGTGTGCGCGTTTTTTTGTACAGAAAATCCTCGTCGTTCGAATGTTTTTGCAAATGAAAAAAGAACTATTACAAAATGAATCTTTTTGTATACATATTGATAAAATTTCGAATTCAATACTACTCTCGGAGTTACAATTTTTCCCCCTCGAATTTCCATACTCTTTCGCTGTACAAACCGGCGACTAGAATAAATCCCCCGTAGAGCAAAATCCTGGTTTTATTTGAAAAAAAAAAAACAAGATAATTCCGCTACGATCGAGATTTCAAGAAGTAATGTTACATGAATATTCATAAAATGATTTTCTAAAGCGACGCAGAAAAATGTGTACTGAAAGATTCTTCGTACTCGGCTTTGTAAAATTGTACTCCCTTCGGTATAATGTCTAAAATTATTACTTACACAAAATTGTACTCAATGAATCCTTTGCGGTCGTGTCGAGCACAGACAAGGGTCCTCAACTGCTCAGAATTCATTTTCACGGAAAATTCGTCGAAAAATTATCATCGATGGTACTCTAATAAAATAACGCAAGATCTACACAAAATCAACAATTTTTCTTCATATTTACATACGCTTAACACAACAACACATCGTTCCATTTTACACAAAACCTACATTTTACATTTCTCCGTAGCGTGATAATTTGCAAAATCAGAATAACTTTTCCTTTGATGGCTAAGGGCAGACATACGACAGCAAAGGGTTAAAGTAAAAAAGAAGAAAAAGGAAGAAATGGTTTCACCTGTAAATATCCAACGCTTCGCTATTTTCTTTCCTCCACGACACGAGAAAGGAAAAAATAAAGAAACACTTGTGACACTCCGCAAGACCTGCCCGCAATCGAGAAACAGATCGAAAGTGTGCCGATAAAACTTGAACATGAACGATCGAACGTCGAACGCGTGAACACCGGCCGCAGAATGTCCGGATCGTGTTACGTAACACGGCTATAAAAGGGAAGGTACCATTAGGTTTGATCGCAGTCGATGTAACCAAGCTCGCGTAGCCGACCAAATATCCCAGGCGAACGTTAATCGGTATACAGGCTAATTACGGGACTCCTCTCGTCACCGAAATAACGCGAACGTCGAAATTTAATTACCGCGAAACTGTAGAGGATAAGAAAACTTCTGTTCGATCGTACGGGGGGGAAATTTGTTTTTCTCTTTTCTCCCGTCACTTGGACGGAAAGGTCTAGCTCGGAGAACAAGTGATCACGATCCTCGTCACTTCGAAACTTCGAAGTTCGTTGATTTATTCAACGACCCCACCGGCGTGGCTGCGACATAGTGCACACAGTCACGAAGTCACGTAATTAATTAAGCGGCTAATTTCATATTCAGCGGTGTGTTCTGTGTGTTCAGGCGACATGAGGGCGGTAACGGTGTTTTGTGTAATGTCACTTTACCTGGCCGCTGCGAAGGGTTCGGACAGTGACGACTTCAACGATCAGCTGATCGACTTCTCGCTGTATCAGATCTACCCTAGGAGCTTCAAGGACAGCGACGGTGATGGCGTCGGGGATCTTAAGGGTTAGTTTGCTCTTTGACAAGTTTCTCCTTTTTATTTTGACGTAAGTACTCTGTTTCTGCAGGTGTTTGGACATTTTTGAGATTATCGGAAAAATATGACGAGGAAAATGTAATCATTTTTTAGGTTGTAATTTGTACGAGAATTTTGATAATTATTGTTAAACGACTGGCTGGTGATAGTGTGATAGTAAGGTAATGCAGTGCGATGGTGTAATATTAACTTAGTTAAATGAGAGTGTGAAGTATGGATAAATGGATAGGTATCTTATAAGTCAGGTGGCGTTGTGAAGGGTTCAATTATGTTAAGAAACAAGATAATGAAGAGTAACGAGAGTCGAATTCTTCTCATTTTTTCGATAGAGTGACTAAAATACTTTTCTATATTAAAAAAACAAAAAGAATAACGAGAGTCGAAAGCAACGCACTCGGAGCAATGATATTACGAATTCTTCTCATTTGTTTGATAGAGCCACTAAAATATTTCTTTCCATAAAATATTTTCCTATATTTAAAAAAAACAAAATAACGAGAGTCGACAGCAATGCAACCAGAGCAATAACAATTTCACAAATTCTTCTCATATTTTTGGTAGAGCCACTATACCATCGTAATAAAACTTCTTTGATTGGTTAAATTATATTTAAAGAAAACAAACAAAACGGAATAATGCAACCAGAGCAACGGTAATTAGAAGTTTCCTTTCACAAATTCTTCTAATCTTTTTGACAGAACCACTAAAATATTTCTTTTAGCCTGAACTTACGTGATGATCTAACACGTTCCAAACAAACTTGACGAAGCATTTTTCGTCAAGCAAACGCAGCAACAGCCACGACAGATAATTGAGCGTGAAAAATTCACCGTGTCGGTCGAATCACTTCGAACAGAGGTGTAACTGCGTTTCCTTTTCTCATTCCGCCGGTGTTTCTCGATCTGTCTCTGTGTGTGCGCGATTATGTAACCGATGGTGACACAGCAGCACACAGAGCACGGGCGCGAGCGTAATTAACAGGGGAACCTAAGCGTGCCGGCGTTTTACCGAGAAAAAAGGAGAGTAAAGCGGGTGACAAACGTGCACGGTGGAAATAAATGTCGCTTGAAGCGTGAAAATAAATTTGAACGAAAACGCGTTCACCTCTGCCCACGGCCGCTTTGACAGCCTGAAAGCGAGACGGGTTTCAACGTTTTTTTTTTTTTTTTTTTTTTTCGAGTGATCCTCGAGTCGTTACGAAAGGACAATTTACACCCCCGTGACTCGACATTGGGGAAATAATCTCGAGCCTGGCGATAATTAGTGTCCGGCGAAAATATTACTTCTGAATTGGGAAAGATTGTGAGAAACAGTTCGGAAGATCGTTGTTTTCTTCTCTCTCTGATTGTTACAAATTGTGGAAGATATTCGAAGAAGTAGGAATATTGGGTATTCGGTTGAAATGAAACTGAAGTTCTGCAATTGTGAATTAAAGGGTTAGACTGTTCTTGAGAGTTGGATTTTTAAAAACATAATCGAAATGGTTTTAATGAAAAATATCGATGGTTCTATGCTATTAAAGCCGGTTTACTCTTTGAAGCAATGGTTCCGCGATGCGGCCGTAGCGCCGCCATTTTGTAAAGAAATTAAGCGAAAAAATCCTCTCACATTCTTTAAGGATATTGTAATAATGTCCTTCAGAAAAGTTTTCGATAGAGTGAATTATTTTCTTAAAAAAAAATGCCAAAATTAGGGTTAGCCTGACATATAAATTTACATATAAAAATTTGAGTGCATCAGGGTTAGTCTAATCACTTGTGCAAAGATCATCCTCTATTGCAGTTGTTAAATAAATATTTCCCTTTTACCTAAACTATCGTGAAATATAAAAATTTGAGTGCAATTTCGTTTAAGAAACGAGAAGAACGCATGAATGCTTCAAAATGAGTAGAAATTCGAGATTTCTGATCGATACATAGAAAGATTAATGGAACATAGCTGGTCGATGTTCCTTTTGAAATTTTTCTAGGCGTAAAAATTTGTCGGAGGATTATAAGGTGCGCTAGTAACGCGCAAACGAGCGAACGGTCAGATGACAAGGCCAAAAGGATGTACGCTAGTGCGACAGGGATGTAAAAAGGTTGCTAGGGGGTGAAAGAATAAAGAAGAAAAGAACGCAAAGACGTCACGACTTGATGCACGGTAAATGTTTCCTTGAACGCGCAAAGAAGTCAATAATATCTGGGATATTAATAGGCGTCCTCGTTAACTTTTCCATACTTCTTAGCATTTCGTAGAGCGTTTGTGAAATCGCTAGAAAATCCCCTTTGAGACCGGTATCTGAACTCTGAGCTGTTGTCTCGTCGTTCCAGAATAGACCGATAAACTAATACCCCGATAATCTACAATCTATATCTATATTTTGAGTAGTCGAAGGAAAATTTCGCAATCCTCTCTTGGAATTTTCAACGGAAGATTTCACGCTGAAAATTTTCAGAAAAGCACGGCTGAAAGATGCGAGAAATCCGAAAATATTCATTAGCGTACGAATTGATCTAATTCTTGTCCTGCGAATCTCATACTCAATTACGGAAATGAAAATGACGCTGCAAATTGCATCGCGCAACAGACAGCTCGCTTCGAATCATTTACAACTCATTTACGAGTATCGACGAAGATCTCGTTACAAAGTTGAGTCATTTAATTGAACGTCTAAAGTAGTTCTTGCAGAAGGTAATTTATTCGTCGAAGAGAAGCAAACTCTCTCTCCCTCTCTCTATTGCGAATCGATTTCTTTTCAATTGCAGGTATAATGAGCAAGCTGGATCACTTGATCGAGTCGAACGTCGACGCGTTCTGGCTGTCCCCCATGTATCCAAGCCCTATGGTCGACTTCGGCTACGATATTCAGAATTTCACCGACGTCGATCCGATTTACGGCACGATGCAGGATTTCGACAGCCTGCTCGAGGCGGCGCACGAAAAATCGCTCAAGCTGTTTCTGGATTTGGTCCCGAATCACAGCTCGGATAAGCACGAATGGTTCTACAAGAGCTTGCAAAACATAAAGCCTTACAATGATTATTACGTCTGGCACAAAGGACGTGTGCTGAAAAATGGCACCATCGTAGCGCCGAACAATTGGGTGAGCATACTCTAACTTATTGTCAGCGATTTTTAACTTTTCTTTTTATCTCACGGTATACATAAATTTTTTACTCAAATTCTACAACACATCAAAAAATATATTATACTTTTTTGCTAATGTAACAAGACGGTATACATTTTTGACTGATTTACCAAAAATGTAATATTCTTTTGCGTTACTTTTTTAAAGTTTTTAAAATTGTACGGAAAAATACTGGACACACCTGTGGACCTCTCGCGGCACACAGCTTGAAAATCAGTGCTTCAATCTTTGACACCGGGTCATTTCTGACCCAGCTCTTAGATTTCCCATATTTCAACCGAAATTCGAAGCAAAGTCACAGCTCTCCTCTCCTTATATTGCAAATATGTTTGTCATTTTAATAATAATTTATTCGTATAATTTTAGACAATATAATGCTTAGCAAAATTAGAAATGTGGTTTAACTTGCATAAGAGAAAGATTTTATTATTGGGTCAAATTTGACCCGACATCCATCATGGGTGCAATCACGCGAACCGCTGTCCGTGAGTTAAACGAGGTACCTTTAATAATTTCAGATCATTTTTTAGTAATTTAAAAGTGTGAGAAGGAATAATTTATTTTATTCTTAAAAGAAGGCGTTTTAACTCGAAAGACGTGATTGTCTCGTAGTAAAGTGTGCTTTCGTCCTACCAGTTCTGATTAGTGAGTGTGAATTTTCCTTCAGCCGATGAGAAAAGTATAATATTAAAATATTCACTTATATCTTACGAAGATTTGTTAAGTTTCTCCACCATTATTTCTTCATTTATGCTAAACATATTTTCTCTCATTTTTCAACAAATCTCTTTTAAGAGTAATATTATTGCGACGTTAAATCTTACTTAGGTTACATCGTGTTAGATTTACCTTCATCGTGGCCACATTTTTCATTGACCAGAGCTGAAACGAGGTTCGATTAAAATTCATACGAAATTCGAATTCTACAGGCTATAAACTGTGGTATTAAGTCGCGTTAAAAGTGACCGAAGTAATTAAAGTTCGCCGATCGTATTGTACTCGAGCTAACCATAAAAAGGCTTCCCCTGTTATCGTTCTGTCTTCTAATTCCAGCAAATTCCGCGTTAATAGTGACGAAAAACTGAAAACCTCCTGCGCTAAAATCGGACAATCCTAAAGTGAAACGTCGGTAACGTTTCTCGAGAGTGTTTCAACTCTTACAATTTTTCGAATTCCTTCAGGTGGTTGTTCTTTTGCCAACAACACGGGACCAACTGAATATTAAGTGGGCTGGTCGTCTTCACTAGTTAAATTTCAATCTCTTTTTCGCCAGCTGAATTTGCATTGGAAAGTATTCTAGAGGCCCCACGAACGAGAAAACCCGCTATCCGCTGTTCAAGTCGCTTTAATTTCCTGAAAAATTTCATCCCTCGGTGTCTATACCACATTCCGGCGAATTTCGTTTGCACAGTGATACGTTTGCGCGCGATCTAAGGGTTAGTTGGATCGAGAAATCGTCTGTCGATCTCCACGAACCATTTTCACTGTGTTCAGCTATCGAAATTTTTCGTACGAAAAAACCACGAGAACCTCGGTACAGTTCGCGTAAATTTTCGAAAAGTGTATAACGAACAAGCCATTCGAAGGCGAATCTACAATTTAAAAAAAAGAAACAAACTTTGAAAAAAGAAAGTTACAATTAATTTTCAAGATTAAAAATAATTTCAAAGTTTGTTTCTAAAGTTGTAGATTCACCTCTGAGTGGTTTGTGCATTGTATACTTTTTGTACACCGTGCATAAGAATTTACGTGAAATTATTTTTAATTTTGAAAACTAGCTGTAATTTCTTTTTCAAATTTTTATTTTACCCAACGAGACTTTTTTTTAAAGAATATTGTTTCTTCGAATCAGATTAGATTAGGCTTCTTTGGTGGCCATTTTCGAAAAGGTACCATTACTTATCTTTAAATCAAGAAACGTTCTGTAAGTGGTTAGAGAATTTCGTAGAAGTGACCGGAATTATCTTTTAGAATAGAATATTTCAGCTGGGCTGCAGCAAAATGTGCGATATTCGACTGTTTTCGAGATTTCTCTGGTACAAGTCGGAGCCTTTGTTTCGCTCATTGTTTCATCTCAGAAAGGTCAGTTTACAACGCGCCGGTTTATTTTACCCCCTTTCTGAATAATTCGCAGGAAACATATCCTCCGTGCAAACAATGCGTTTCCATTCGAAATGTGCATTTCTCCTATGCTCGTAAATATGTATAGAACGGATTTAATTAAACGGTCGGTCATTGCCTTTCCGTTGTTATCGATCACAGCTGATTATTATCAACGAACGAGCAAGAGGGCAGGCAAATAATGAAATTTCCTGACCGTAGGCGGAGAATAGAAACGGCGCACTGAACAGTAGCACCTTTTGAGAAAATTAGCTCCAGTGTGTGTCACTGCCCAATTTCACATTTTTATTATTTTCTTATTTTTCATTTTAATTGCTCTTTCTCTAATTGCACATTTTTATTTTACAATTTTACATTGTCTAATTGCACATTTCTATTATTTTATTATTTCATTATTTTACATTCTGCGTGTTTTTAACATGGTTAAATATAATAAAAATGATTTTAATAACAAAATGACACTATTATAGTACAAGCTCGTTAATAATTTTGCTAAGTTTGCTTAATTTAGCTGAACTAAACGTTACACAGTACTTACCTTATAGGTCAACATATAAAACATGAATTTACTTTTGAGTTTTTGAAATTTTCAACGAACATGTTTTTCTAGTTTCAGAAGAGTATAAAGGCGGTGAAAAAGAAACTGCGAAAAATTCTCGATTCACAATTTCTATCCCGAACGCCTCGATTGACAATCAGCTCTGAAGCTTAATATTTCTATCGCCTAATCTTGTTTATCGATCAAATTCACAGACCGTCGAATCATTTGACACGCGGTATACACATACGTATAATCATTCCGAGCGAAACACCGATATTGCAATTTCTTTTTCAATTGCGAACAAATCGGGCAGCGATTTAATACGCGTCCCTCCTATCTCCCGCGTCGATTCTGCGATAATTGCCATAATAGCTTTCAGCCGGATATCAAATTGATCGAACATCGAAATGGAAATTTTTTCGAATATACTCGACAATAAATCGCCACATAATTCGCGTTATTTTCAAATCGTGATTCGCCTGAACGCATGAAAAGTCGATTATCGCACTTTTCACTTTTCCGTTTAACCAAATATTTTGCAAAATATTCCGTATCGAGGCTACGCTGAAGAAATTTATGAATTTTTTTTCATAACGTGTGTACAGTCTGGTTTAACGGTAGAACGTGTTGATCCACAGGTGAGCGTTTTCGGGGGCCCAGCATGGACGTGGCGAGACGAGCGACAAGCCTATTATTTTCACCAATTCACGAAGGAACAGCCGGATCTGAATTACAACAACCAAAAGCTGGTGCGCGAGATGAAGGTGGGTGTACATTTTATGAAATAATTGTAACGAAGCGTGTAGCTTTAGCCGAGACCGCAATATCCGATTACCTAATTGTTCGATCGCTACCTGGCGAAACTGGCGTTCCTGATTAAACCGTTAAAAGTGTGTACTATTCTTCTGATTTTTGAACAAATTTTTTTTCGGAATTTCTTATCTTTGTTAATGTCGAAAAATGGTCCTGGAAGAATTTCGATTTATCGATCAAGATCATATACTTGATTTTATTCTTTCGACAAGTGCAATTTTTTGCATGCTGGTGAAACTAATTTTCTCGTTATTTTGTGATCACTGGAAAATGTTTAAGCAATTAGGCTGATAGGGTTGTTGTACTAAAATTGGGATTATTGTTGTATTAGTAGCATCGTTAAAATTGACAGAATTTATGATACAATAGGATATGCTATTGATTCAAAGATATCTGAATTCTTTGAATTTTGTAAACAATTTTTATTACTGGTTTTAATGGTAGCACGTATGTACAAGGGTACATAACAATTTATCTAATACAATAATGGCAATATTTGTTGATTTTATCAAATTAATTAAGAGCACTGTTAACTGTACAGTTTTTACTGATTTTATAGAAGATTCCTTTTTCACTTGACAATGCAAACAACTTCAAAAGTGCTTCTAAAAATTTTAAATGGTAATAATTTACAAATGAGAAAAATGTTAAAAATATTGAATTTATTATAAATCAAATTATAGTCGTTTCAAAATATATTCTGTCTTCGTTCAAGCCACAATTTGAGCGCAGAGAATTTTTCCATAGTGTAGCAATAGAATTTTCGGTTTCAAGGTTCTGGTTAAAATCAAACAGAAACTGCTAATCGTGTTGACGACAAATTATAACAGAGTGAGGCGAAACTATTTATTATTACATTCGTTTACACCTTCGATCGATCCTGATTACAATGAGAACGTCGTGTTATCAACGGATCTCGTTATCTGCTCACTTCAAGTAGTCTTAACAGATTTCATTGAAGCAAACGTAACCGATAAAGAATTCTTTATTTCCTTCGCATTGTTCTCGGGAGAGGCGGTATTGAAAAAATACGAGCTGACGCGGTGCGTGAATTGTTATTTCGTCTTTTCATTTATATAAAATTTAATACTTCGAAGATCTACTGATCCTTTCTATCGAAGAATTATTATCCCTTTCGATTGTTATCTTATTACAAAAATGGTAGATTACTCGTCGTTGCACCTAACAATTATTTAACGTTTCAACAATTTAAACGACGATTTCAGACGACTGAAAGTAGGTAAAGTTTGGGAATTTTTTTAATAGGTAACTACCGGATGAAAAGTTTCTATGTTTTCAGAAGATGTAAACGCAACTTTCAGCTTCTTTGTTTCATTTTTGAAAAGTCAAAATCTTGCAAAATGGAGGAGTAATTTGCTAATTGCGAAATCTCTTCTCGCCGGCAAAAACTGGGACGTATGAAATAAAAATTTCTATTTAACTTACAAATCGAAATGTAACGTAGGATTTTCAAAAATTCTAATTATTATAGAAATAGTGGCAGTTTGAAGAGGGAAAACCTCTTTTCACTAAAAAGAAATCAACTTCGAACATGTGCAAAGAGCTAAATAATTTAAATATCGACAAAATTCCAGGTTCCATAATAATTCCTCCATTGTACAACATTTATACTCTCCAAAAATTCGAGCAAAAAGCTGAAAGTTACGTATATACTCTCTCAAAAAAAATTGAAGCTTCTCATTTTCTCCAAACTTCTCCTTTTCCTTCTAGACGCTTCAGGATGGTTTCCCTTCCCCTTAAAAAAAAAATTAATCAAACGTAGCAAGCAATTAAACGTAACCGCGATTTGCGCATCCAACGATAGACAATTAAATCTTGTTTCTACAGATGGAACCGTGACATCGGGGATTTTCTTTCCATCGCGTCGCCCTTACGCTTGTAGGGACGCTGGATTACGTGTATCGTTACCACAAGCGCAGAATAAATCCCACATGTAAACACTTTCCCCTGAGCCGTTTTGCCTTCCCTTCGAACAATCCGTCGTGCTTCAGGTGTGAAAACTACGGAGAAAACCAACACACGTCTGAAATTCTCTCTTTCTCTCTGGAGAAAATACGACCGATCTCTGAATTATCATACACTTTCTACCTTTCCTTCTCTTTTTCTCTCTGCTTCACTTCGTGACTGATAAATCTGTCTAACCAGGATCGATCACGTTCAACGTGGTCGTTAAACGGAGACCCAATAATTATTGTCGCGATAAATCAACGATCGAGCGCCACGGTTGAACAGCTCGTTATTACACTCGTCTCGGTGACATATTTTTCTCTCCATCGAGACGAAGTCGAAGTCGCGATTATTCTCGCCGGAATAATCAACGACGTTACCGGCGACCAATCGATGGGCACGCTGGAACAAAGTGAGTAAACGGGATTAGAGATTAGCCGCTCGTTGACTCAACGTGACTCTGATTTATCCCTGTATTCTTATCGAACGATTTCCCCGGAAGCGTTGCTTCGTTGCTCGTCGACGTGTTTGTAGATCGCTATGACGAGGAAGTTTGGAATGCTCTTATCGACGTTGTTTCACATTTTCCCTAGGTTCGATAGATGAAAAGTCGAGAGTTCGGGATTTTTCGCGGCGAACGTGAATTTTAACAGGCACGAAACTTGGGAAATGCAACGAACGTCGTGGAAATATGGCCAGTTAAATTCACCCGGGTGTACATATACAGGGTGTCTCAGCTGATTTTGACATCTTGATTTTCTCGTTATTATTACTCATAGCGGGGAGTGTTTCAGGTGAAATTTAAACAGTCTCGAAGGGGGCATATTCTGGTGTTGTTAATTCTTTCACGAGTGGAAAAGTTTCACTTTCGTCTGAAACATATTTCGCTTTGAGTAATAATAACGGGAAAATCAAGATGTCAAAATCAGCTGAGACACCCTGTATATAGTTGTCACACGTATGGAACAATTAAGCATTGCAGGCGGCAGAAGAATTTTCAGAAGATAATTAGCAACTTGTAGGTACAAGTTTTCCTGATCGCATCTTTTCACCAATTAAACCTATCGCAACGAAGCAAATTGATATCGATCCCTGGGGGGGGGGCAAAATTGATAGCTGATTCGATTTGGCAAGTGTTCCGAAACTTTCAGCCGGTTGTGTACCTACGTACACTGTGGAAATTTTAAACAAAGCTCGAAGCTGTCGGAGAAAATATAAATTCGATTACAGTCGCGAGTTTCGCTTGAAATACGCAGACTGAGGAGTCACGTGACAGCCTCTTCGTTGAATTTAAATGAAGCAGAAAGATAGAAGCTACGCGAGCCTCGACACTGTTCGAAACTGCACGAAGTTCGTGATTGTAGGAGGAATCGTTGAGATTATTCGTTCGAGAGGTTGCAGAGTGGAACAGTGGGGATGTGTGT